CGCAGTGTTTTCAATTAGGGAGCTGAGCGCTCTGGCTTCAAGGCGAGGGACCGATGCCGAGCGCTGGGGAGAGGCGGGCTGACCTCGCTCGGAACCCGCTCTGTTCCCGGCTGATATGTCAACAGCCGCTTAAGTGGAACGTTGTGTGTCTGGGACTTTACTGTCAGACTCATCCTTTTTGGATCAGGCTCAGGGTGGGCTTTTTTTTAATCTCAAGTTGATTGCCTCTCTCATTATCAAAGCCGCCATCCATCTGTTTCCACTTTCTTAGGGCTGCGGCAAGGACTCGCGCTGGAAATGTGTTTTCACTTGAGGTTTTAGGGTTCCCCTCCTCCTGCCTTGCTGAGGGTTGTTCAAGTTTTAACGTTGTCGCTGCAATGTGATCTTCCAGTAGTGGGTGGCCCGGCTGCGCCATTTGAAACTAATTTACAGCTTCATCTGGGACTATCGTCACTTTAAATTAATTAACTGAAAAGCACCAAAAATTCTCCGGTGGGGGAGGAGATGAGACGGAGCTAGGGGGGCGATGAGAAAGGACTCCCAAGGCTCGGCCCTTGGGTGTGCAGGGCAGTCCTTCCTTTCCTTCCGGCCCACCTTCTGGACTAAAACACACACAGAACACCACAAAACACTCAGGACCTTGTCTTTTGAAAGGTTTCTTCGGGGAGACAAGAACTCTGTGTGGGCTTCCACAAAGGCAAGGCAAAGCTGTTACTAGGAAGAAAGGTGGGTAGTCGGCCACGGGCTGATGGGAACTTCAGCACACAGAGATCGCTGGAGATGAGATGATGGTGGGAGGTTGGGGGGCACCTTCGGGGGAGGGGGCAGGGCAGGGAGGGGGCATCAGCCCTCCCCACCGCATGCCCGCCCCCTCCTCCCCCGCCCCAGAGCAGTTTCTTCCCAGGCTGTGGAGAGAAGTGCCTTTGTTCCTCTCACATTCGGTGAGTCTGTATGAACCCCTTACTACGCGGCCAGCGCCGCGGGGGAGGAAGGGCCTTCAGGAGGCCTACAGGTGCCAGCAGCACCGCCCCTGAGGGTCGCCCGCGTTCTCACTTCACCCTCGCCGCAGCCCTGGGAAGCAGCAGCATCATCGGTCCCTTTTACACGGGAAAGAACCAAGGCTCAGAGAGGTCACGAGGCTCGCCCTTGATCACACAGCTATGAAGCGAAAGAGCAAGAATCCAAACCAAGGTCTGTCACTAGCACCTGTGCTGGGGGTCATGGAACATGACAAAAAACATGGAACAACAAGGGCAGGAGGGGCGCTACATCACTTGGCGCCTCCACACGAAGAGGACTGGGAGCCAACAGGCTCCTTCCTTCTCTGCAGTCAAGAGCTCTGGGCCCGCGTCTCAAGCCCTGAGCTGTGACGTGGCCAGAAGAGGCGGCTCTGGGACCAGCTCTGGGGTCGCTGTGCCCTCAACACAGTGGAAATCTGTCGGCGACAAAACCCGGCACTTCATCTCTAGGCTCGATTCGACTTCCTGAAGCTGAAACACGCAGCGTGTTTGGGCAACAACAGATTATAATCTATCTGCTCTTACAGTCGACAAGCATCTGAAAGTAATCTGACAGCCGCGAATAATTTGGGGCTTGCATAACGCCTGGCTCATCCCGAATACCCAAAAAACGCTGGCTCGGCTTGTTACTCCCCAGACCCTCCCTCTTCCTCACCTCCAGTCTCAGAACTCAGAGACAAAGGTTGGTCCTGAATCCAGCCCAAACCATGGCTATCTGTTACAGATTATGTCCCCTCTCGCAGCACTTAGCAGGGGTGGGCGGTAAGCAGGCCTCAGCACAGCCCTGTGAGGTCTTTGATTACCCGTCTGATGGACAGGGCACCTGAGATAAGGATGGGGAAGCACCCTTCTGCCCAGAACCAGTGTCCAAACCCAGGCAGCTTGCCTCCCGGCTGGGACTCTTAGCCTTGATGCCCTTCATCCTGGGCCCCAGCTGCACATCTCGGGGACGAGGTGCTCGCTGCCTCTGAGAGCAGCTCTGGTTGAACGTTCATCTTGACGTCGAGGTGCAATTCTGCTTCCTGCCATTTCCACCCATTGTTCCTGATTCTGACCGGGTCCCCCCCTCACCACAAAAAACCTCTGAGCTCTTTTCTCAAACTTCCACAGGCACAGGGGATTTATTAGAATGCAGATCTGTCTCTGCAGATCTGGGGCGGGGCCTGAGGTTCTGCGTTACTCACAAGACCCCAAGCGATGGTGACACTGCTGGTCCCAGACACACACTTGGAGGATCGAGGTCCTAGGTCAGGAGCAGGCGAGCCCCGCCTGCCACCCATCCCCGCAGACAGCGTGTTATTGTAACACCTCCCGCCCGTCTGTTTATGCCTCAGCTCCAGCCGCTTCCCTGCTACGGCAGAGCTGAGGAGCTGCGACAGAAACCAAAAGGCCCACGAAGCCTGAAATAGCGGGCCCTTTACATCCAAGGTGCGCCCGCCCTGCCCTGCGCCCGGCTCCTCCCGGGCCTCGCCGCCTCTGCCCTCGGCTGAGCCCCAGCTCCCCTCGGCATCCCGGTGTCCCGCTGCCGACACACGCAGGCTTGCCTGGATCCCTCTAAAGGAGGAGCGTCACCTCATACTGGTGGGCCCGAGGGACTGACCGGCTCCATTCACTCCTCCAGGTGGTCTCTGCGAGGAAGGGCGAGGGACCCCACCCTCGCCAGCCCCTCCTCCCCCTCCCCCGCGCTCTCTGCCCCCCCACACACACTCTCCACCGCTCCTCAGACTCTCCCTGGGCTTTCTGCTTAATGACCGATACCAGTCGCTGCAGAACGTTGATGCTGCGTTAGGAGTTCTGCACCCGGGCCGCTGCAGAGCAGGCCTCCCCCTCCTGTGGGCTGTGGAGAGAAGCTGTGAGTGGGCGATCCTGGCCATCCAGAGGTGGATGCCAGAGCAGAGGGCAGGGGCCCAGGCCTGGAAGGTGACCAGAGGCCTGCTCTTTCTCCCCCAGGACCACTGCCCCCATGACCTCGAGGCCTGTGCTGACTGCAGGGGCCTCTCTAGTGGCTGGGAAAGTCTCAGAGGGGCCTGGGCGCCTCCTTCAGCTCAGCGAGGCAGCCTTTAACATGGGGCTCTCAGCAAGGCAAGAACCTCTCACTGGGGTGGTTCAGGACTGAAGAGAGCTCCCGGTACATCCTACACCTGCCTGCTTTCAGAAAAGTGCCTCCCTCTCTCCGCATCGTCCAAGGGAAACTGCTGTGGTAACGGAGTGCATCCGCGCAGGCCAGCAGGGTCATCGTCAGCCACGAGTGAAACGCGGCCACTGTAGCTGAGGGGCTGCATTTTAATTGTATTTGATTTAAATGGACACAGGTGGCTACTGGCTACCATGCTGGATAGCACAGCGTCTCGTCCATGTGTCAGATTCATTAGAATTTGATCCTTTCACACTTTGGGACCCGGTCAAAACCTTCCCGAGGGAGAAGTCACATTTGGAAGCAGTCACTGGTTCCTCAGGGTGAATCCAGGCACTGAGCATAGTGATTAATTTGGGGAGGTCCGAGAAAGGGGCACTGGATGCCACCGGGACCCACAAGGGAGGAGAAAGGGCAAGGTCAGGCCAGCTGGAGACCAAAGGACATTCCAGCTTTGCCAGCTCGGGGCCCAGCCGGGGCCTTGAGGGTGACCGGCCTGGAAGAAAGTTCTGTCCGTTTCTACTGGCAAACATGATCGATGGAAGGAAGGAAGGAGGGAAGAGGAGGAAAGAAGAAGAGATGGTGGGCAGAGAACTGAGTGGCATGTCCTGCCCTGCCCTGGAAGCTAGTTTACGGAGCTAAATCACAACGGGAACTGGAAAGCGATGAGGCCCTAAGTTATGGCCGCGCTCCTGCACGGCACAGAAATTCCAGGACCGGCGACATCGGTGGGGGCTGAAGAAATCCTGGGAGAGAGGGAGTCGGCTCAGGCCAGGCGACGGGCGGACCTCGGTCTGACTAAAGGAAAAGAAAAGCACTCTGGGCAGAGGAGGGCTTGCGCAGATGTGCCGCTGGGGGCTGAGGAGGCAGCCCGGCTCAGCGGGCGGCAGGCCCCCCCGTGGTTGGGAGGGGAGGATGGAGGGGGTGGGGGTGGAGCCAGGCTCGGGGCCTGGGCAGCTCCGAGGCGGGAGCCTGGCTTCAGTCATGTCCTTGCTTTCTGAGAAGAAGGACTGGTCCAGGGTTCCTGCAGAGGCTGCCTGAAGAAGCCACGGAAGTTACGCCAAGGGTCAGGGGTCAGGAGGCACCAGTGGCTGGGCACGGAGGTGCTGTAGCATTCACGCAGGGCGCAGGCTCCCCAGCCAGCAGACAGCCTGCTGCCGCCCTCCTACAGCTGCACTGCGGACTGACTCCCCGGCCCATTCCTGCTCCTGCCCGCTCTCCCTTCCCAGGTGTCAGACCCCAGCCTGCCCGGCATCCCTCATCGTCGCAGGTGTTTCCCCCAGTGAACTGCACATCTAATCCTGTCCCGGGGTCTGCTTTTTGCAAGGCCTGAAATACACAGTCAGGTATAGAGAACCCCATTCTCTCCTAAGAGATTACACACTCCTTGAAGGCTGGGGCACCCCCCTAGCTGAACAGTCCCTGACAACGTCTCCGGAACACAGGGAGGGCTCAGGGCACAGTTCTAGCGTGAACGCACACGGGCCACAGAGAGGGGGTCAGGCTCCCGGGAGGGGGCATGGGAGAGCAAGTGACACCTCTGCCTGGGTGGCCCCAGTGACGGTCCCCAACGCCACCCCATCCCAGGCTCACCCTGTGCCCTTCTGGCAGTGACCCCCAAAGGTACTTCCGTCAGAGTCCCTGGAGGAGGTGAGCCGAGCACGCTCACATCTGAGAGCCACTCGCTTCACTTTGCTCAAATCTGGGCACCAAATGTTTCACACTTTTGATCCTGAAGCGGTAACAGAGCTGCAAGGAATGAGGAGGAGAAGGGGAGGAACCACAGAGAGGGGCCGAGTCCCGTCCAGGTCGGGGGAAGGGTGGGGGACAGAAGAGGCATCGCTCACCTCCAGCCCCTGCCCCGTCACAGCCTACGTTGTTGAAGGGGGCTCAAGGCGGCAGAGAGGGCACATCCACAAACGTCGCTTCCTCAAGGGTTCACCCATTCCATTGTTCACACCAGGGTTTTCAGCCTTTGCATGAATCACTCTTCGGTGGGAGCCGGTGATTCTCTGCTGGGGTGGGGGCTGCCGTCCGGTACACTGCAGGCTTAGCAGTGGTCCTGGTCTCTACCCGCCAGGTGCCAGGAGCACTGCCCAGCCCCGGCTGTGACAACCAGATTGGATATTGCCCAGTGTCCCCTGAGGAGCAAAATAACCTTGGTTGAGAACCGCTGACTTAAATCCCCAGCAGACACCCCACTTTGGACAGAACAGAGTAAATTCAAGGCCTGTGGACTGATTCTCCCCGCCGTCAAGCCCCCACAGAAAGGGCTGTTTTCAGCACTTATCAGGTCTCTGCTCACTTGAAACTCCCCAAAGGGCTCTTTCCCGACCTGGTCCTGGAGGTCCCCAGCCCCTGCCCGGATGCCAGGACCTTCTCCTGTGTGCCCAGCCCCGTCTTACCCAATCACACTGGCCAGGCAGCGCCGCCCAGCCCCGCAGGCAGCCCGGGCGGTGCCGCCTGGCCGAGAGCCTTCAGCGTGGCTCGCTTCTGCATGCGGGGGTTTCTGTTGCGGATCAGTAACGGCGCGCCTTCCTCTCGCTGCCTTTAGAGGAGCTAATCCAAGCATCTCTTCATTTATTTATTCATCCAACAAATAGTCACTGAGTTCCTCCTGGATGGCGGGCGTTGGGTTAGGAGCTAGGATGCATAATCGTGAAGCAGACAGACACAGCCCTGCCCTGCCCAGTGAGGGGCGGAGTGGGCCCTGAAGTCAGGCGGCTGGGGCTGGAGTCCTGGCTCCCCACCTGCTACCTACCTGACTGGGGCACATTTTTGACTTAAGGCTCAATTTCTCCTCTAAACTGGAGATCATGATGGCTCCCGCCTCAGAGGGAGGTGAGACTTAGACGCAGGGAGGCGTAAAAAGTGCCTGGCACGTGTCAAGGTAAGAAAGAGCTCCTCTGTTGAGGGGTTGCCCTTATGATTATTCAAGACATTGTATTCATGACATCAGAGTCTGGTGGGGGAGAGACAAGTCCAACGTGCAGTTACACAGACTCTGAGAAGTGGCCTGAGGGACGACTGGGTGCGGAGGTGGGAGGATGAGGTTCCAGGATGCTTCTGCCAGGAGGAAGGACTGCCTAAGTCAAGGCCTGAAGCTTAGGTAGAAATTGGCCAGAACAAAGCCCAGGTAGCAGAGAGCGCTGCAGGCGGAGGGAAAGGCACGCGCAGGGCCTGGAGATCAGAGCGTGGGGGTGGGGACCTGGGCGTCTGGTGTGGCTGGAGTCTGGATGCTGGAGGTGTCAGCTGGGGTCACACCCGTCGGTCCTGCGGGCCACATCAAGGCGTCTGACTTGACCCTAGAGCAATGGGAAGGCACGGAGAGTTTTCAGCCAAGGAGGGGTGTGATCAGATTTGATTTGGAAAGCTCAGGCCGGCTGGAGAGAGGAGAAGGGTTTACAGGGACACAGCTGGATGTGGCTGTAGCTCCCGGGGAGAGGTGACAACCGCCTGGCCTAGGGAGCGACATCCAGAACCGGAAGAGCCGGACGGGGCCCAAGTGCACAGAGCCGCAGACTCCGCGATTAGTCGGGCTCCAAGCACACGGCAGACGCCCCGTAAATACCTGAAGGGCACGTGCGGGACGGGGCGCAGCCGTCAGGCCTCCGGGGGTGGCGCAGAGCCCAGGAGGCTCCGGGAAACTGCTGCGCCATCCAGCCCGGGGGCAGTAGCTGCAGGAAGCTGACAGAAACAAACAGAAAACACCGTGCTCCCTCCCTAGTCCCCGCATGGGCAGCCACCCCTGGCAGAGCCCCGTGGGCCCCCGTCACAGCCCTGGGGAGGGCACCCCGGCGGCCCCCGCTTCCTGCGGA